ATTAAGGGCATTCAGGTAGGAAAGTAAGAAATCAAGCTCTCACTATTCGAAGATGATATGATACTATACTTAGAGAACTCAATAACCTCAACCAAAAAACTCTTAGAAACAATAGACTTGTATAGTAAAGTTGCAGGCTATAAAATCAATACCCAAAAGTCCATGGCTTTCCTATACGCAAACAGCGAAAGAGGGGAAAGTTACATGAAAAAAACAATCCTGGACTGGAGCGATAGCACAGTGGTACGGCGTTTGCCTTGCACGCAGCCAACATGGCCAAGCCGAGTTCGATTCCTCTGCCCCTCTCGGAGAGCCCGGCAAGCTACCGAGAGTATCTCGCCCGCACAGCAGAGCCTGGCAAGCTCCCCATGACCTATTCGATATGCCAAACACAGTTACATCAAAGTCCCCAATGGAGACGTTACTGGGCCCGCTAGAGCAAATCAATGATCAAATGGAGGGCCTTTACTTTACTTTTGCTTTTTTTCACAATTGTGCCCCGGAAAATCAAATACCTAGGAATCAGCTTAACTAAGGAAGTAAAGGACCTGTTCAAAGAAAACTACAAAACTCTACTTCAGGAAATAAAAGAGGACATGAGGAAATTGATAGATATCTCCTGCGCATGGGTCAGGAGAATTAACATTGTCAAAATCGCAATACTACTGAAAGCATTGTACAAATTCAATGCAATTCCTATAAGGATACCGATGACATTTTTCAAAGAAATGGAGCAAACACTACTGAAATTTATATGGAACAATAAGCCCCCGCGAATAGCTAAAGCAATTCTTGGGAAAAAGAAAATGGGAGAAATCAACCTCCCTAACATCAAACTCTACTACAAAGCAGTAATAAATAAAAACAGCATGGTACTGGAACAAAGGCAGAACTGCAGACCAATGGAACAGGGTTGAATACACTGTCATCTCCCCTCAAACATATGATCATCTAATCTTTGATAAAGGTGCAAGAAATGTGAAGTGAAGTAAGGAAAGCCTATTTAACAAATTGTGCTAGCATCACTGGATGGCTACATGCCAAAAAATGGGCTCAGAACTCTGCCTAACACCATGTACAAAACTAACATCAAAATGGATTAAAGACATCAACATCAGAACAGACACCATAAGGTACATTGAAGACAATGTTGGTAAAACCCTCCATGACTTTGAGGCTAATGTTATTTTCAAAGATGCCACGCCACTGGCCGAGCAAGTGAAAACAGAGATAGATAAATGGGACTATCTTAAACTAAGAAGCTTCTGCACCTCCAAAGAAACAGTGACCATAATACAAAGACAGTCTACAGAATGGGAAAGGATATTCGCCGAATTAACATCTGACAAGGGGTTAATATCAAGGATATACAAAATACTGGTTGAACTCCACAAGAAGTAAACATCCAACCCCATCCAAAAATGGGGCAATGAAATGAACAGAAACTTTATCAAAGAAGAAATCCGAATGGCAAAAAAGCACATGAAAAATGCTCTACATCATTAATCATCATGGAGATGCAGATCAAAACCACAATGAGATACCATCTCACAACTCAGAGACTGGCCCACATTCAAAAGAACAAAAGCAACCATTGCTGGCGCGGATGTGGTGAGAAAGGGACACTCCTTCACTGTTGGTGGGAATGCCGACTAGTTCTGCCCTTTTGGAAAACAGTACGGACGTTTCTCAAAAAATTAGAAATTGAGCTCCCATTTGACCCAGCAATACCACTCCTGGGATTATAACCCAGAGAGGCAAAAATGTGTAGTCGAAGAGACATCTGCACTTGTTTTCTCATTGCTGCACACTTTACAATAGCCAGAAACTGGAAGAAACCTGAGTGCCCAAGAACAGATGACTGGTTAAAGAAACTTTGGTACATCTACACAATGGACTACTATGTAGCTGTTAGAAAAGATGAAGTCATGAAATTTACATACAAGTGGTACAATATGGAAAGTATCATGCTAAGCGAAATGAGTCAGAAAGAGAGGGATAGACATAGAAAGATTGCATTCATCTGGGGGAAATAAAGTAACAAAATATGAGATTAATACCCAAGAATAGCTGAGATCAACATCAGGAGGATTACTCCATAGCTTAGAGGCCAGCCGGGTATTCTAGGGGAAAGGGCAGCTCAGATAGAGAAGGGAGCACCAAATAAATTGTGTTTGGAGGATTCTCCCAGGAGGGGAGTTGCATGTTGAAAGTAGACTATGGACTGAACATGTTTGCCACTCAATGCCTCTTTTGCAGACCACAACACCCAAAAGGAGAGAGCGAACAAAAGGGAATGCCCTGCCACAGAGGCAGGGTGAGAGGGGGGAGGGGGGATATTATCCATGTTGGTGGAAAATGGGCACTGGTGGAGGGATGGGTATTTGATCATTGTATGACGAAACCCAAGCAAAAGGATTTGTAAATCTAAAACTGTACCCCATGGTGCTTCACTAATAAAAAAATATGTAAAAAAAATTAAACAGATGAAGGAAAAAAATACACACTTAATGAATATATGTATTAAATAATATATAAATTATAATATATTAAATTGTATTAACAATGCATGGTATGATACATGAGGCATTTATAATATATCTCTGCTACAAAAATATAAATATATTAAATTACATGTAATCATGCATGGTTATATTTATGAATGCATGGTTATCTTTATGACATAAGAAATATATATATGATATAATTATGTTATATGTCATATTATTCTGGGCTGGAGCGATAGCACAGCAGATAGTGGATAGGGCGTTTACCTTGCACACTGCCACCCCGAGTTCGATTCCTCCACCTTCGATTCCTCTGCCCCTCTCCGAGAGCTTGGATAGCTACTGGGAGTATCTCACCCACCCAGCAAAGCCTGGCAAGCTTCCCATGACGTATTCTATATGCCAAACACAGTAACAAAAAGTCTCATTGATCATTGTATAATTGGAACCCAAGCACAAAATTTGTAAGTCTACAACTGTACTTCATGGTGTCTCACTAATCACGAATCATGACCATCCTGTTATTCGTCGATTGCCTCGAGCAGGCCTCAGTAACGTCTCCTTCATCCTAGCCCTGAGATTTTTAAGAAAGTGCTATATTCAAGGCTTTTTAGGAGAATGAGACCCATCATTGTTACTGGTATTTGGCATATTGGGTACGCCACGGGGAGTTTGCCAAGACTCTGCTGTGTGGGCAGGTTATATTCGGTAGCCTGCCAGTTTGTCCAAAGTAGGAATGAGATAATAAGGTGTCATAATAAGATATCTGGTGGCTGGTCCTGGAGGTCTTCGGCTACTGGAGCCCTGGTTGGGGCGGGGAGGAAATCTCAACCCGCTCCCCTCCAAGGGGCCCTGGCGAGGACAGCCAGGCACGGGGGCAGGAGACTGCGCTGGTTCTCTTCCCAGAGCTGGTTTTTATAGTCTCTGAGGCTTGGCCGTTGATGGGATTACACAGCGCCAGGGGACCAGTTGGTGGGTGTGACCCCTGCCTACTGGAATTCGGAGGATCTGGGTGGAGGATGCTCAGGCCCGAACCGAGTAGGCTTGTAAATCTCAGCCCCGGGGCCTGCTTGCATTTGTTCCTCTGCCGGTACCTTCAGGTGTGTGGAGAGTGGTCTCAGCATGGTGGTGGCTGGTCCTGGAGGTCTTCGGCTGCCTGAACCCTGGTCGGGGCGGGGAGGAAAGCTCAACCCGCTCCCCTCAAGGGGCCCCGGCGAGGACAGCCAGGCGCGGGGGCAGGAGACTGCACTGTAACCTTTCGGGAGCTGGGTTTTAAAGTCTCCCTCACTAATAAAAATTTTAAAAAAAGAAGTACAAAGAGAAAAAAAATGTCTCACAATGTTACTGGGTCTGCTTGAGCAAATGGATGAACAACGGGAGGACTGTGACAGTTATATTATTCTATACATTATATTTGTAGTAGTTATACATTTTATATATCTACATCAATTATATGTTATATATCATATTCAACGGGTCAGAGCAATAGCATAGCAGGTAGGGCATTTGCCTTGAATGTGAATACCAGGGTTCGATTCCTCCACCCCTCTTGGAGAGTCCAGCAATCTACAGAGAGTATTCCGCCTGCACGGCAAAGTCTAGCAAGCTACCCATGACGTATTCGATATGCCAAAACAGTAACAACAAGTCTCATAATGGAGACGTTACTGGTGCCCACTTGAGCAAATAGATGAACAATGGGAGGACAGTGCAGTGCTATCATATTCAACATATATAATTATATATGGGTATCTAATTATATGATAAATATAATATATATGATAGTATACACGAATACATCATCTTACACTAATACATCATCACTAATACATCATACACTAATACATCATACACTAATAAGGGAGGACAGTGCAGTGCTTTCATATTCAACATATATAACTATATATAGGTATATAATTATATGATAAATATTATACATATGATAGTATACACTAATACATCATCATACACTAATACATCATCACTGATACATATTTTATGATATACAACTTATGGAAGACAACATTAAGCTTAGGCTCATGCATTTTCTAAAAACTCTCTTGCCATATAGGGACATGTGATCAAGAGATCCCCTAATTACAGCTTCTCATATAAGAGAGAGGAACATATTCACCCATACAACAATTCTGTACCTTCTCTGAGAGAACTGAAGTTTTGAATACAGATGGATTCTGTCCTATCAGTCTTGTAGGACATGTTTTCTGGATGTGAAAAGTGATAATATTCCAAACTTCTTGCATAGGATGGAGTAAGCTGAGGAAGAAATAAAGCTCTCAATTTACCTCTTGAAACAATAATATTCAACCGATGAGTTCAATATGCCAACTTATCCAAGACTGTCTTAAACGTGGGTATATCTTGCTAGTCTTGGAATTCAGGTAGGCCCAGCATATTCTAATCACTTTGGAGAATGGTAATGGTAAATTAGAGTACAGATGACTATAGCTAATCTTCCTTAATAAAGAATAACAGAACATTACCTGGCAGGGGAGATACCATGATCATGAAGTTGGTTTTCTCAGGGACAGGCTTATCAATTAAACTCCAGATGCACTGATCCCGGCAATTTGCCCAAGTGTTGGAAACTTCACTGCATAATTTGTGATAATAGGATACTGGGTTCACACTCTCCTCTGGAAACTGATGGAACGTTCAGAAAAAAACTCGGCTTTCTGTTTCTCCCTGGAAAGAGGAAGAGTGGTTCTTGGCTTTCAAAGTCATATCTTTTGTTAGGATTACACAAAGGACTGGTTTCTGACTTACTTCGTTCAGTGTATTAATGAGACTTTTCATAACCTATCTTACTGGTAGAAAGTGAGAATATAGATGTGAATTTGAGCTAGCAGTTAGCATAACTTTCAACTAAAAATAGCCCATTTCAAAAGACCGAATCAATGAAGAACTAAGTTCACAAATTTTCACAGGGTGCTCAGTAGAGGATGTAGTATTAGAACGATGCATGTACGAATGAAACCATTATTAACAGTATTAGTAATCCATTATTAATAAGTACCTTAATTAAGATAAAAATAATTAATTGATAACATTATTCTACAGATCAGACAAAGTAGAATACAAATTTCTACCAGGGAATAGAAAGTTGTAGGCAGAATTTGAATATCAAAAAACACTGGAGGAACTAATATCACTGTCTCTTGACCTAGTAAAATACAGAGAGTCAAGGTACCCTAGAAATTGGAACCAGATCAATAGCATAGTGGTTAAGGTGCTTGTCTTGTATGTGGACAGCCATAGTCTATCTGCAGTACCCTATATAGTCCTTTGAGTTCCTCCATGGTGTGATTCCTAAATGCAGAGCAAGGAGTAAGCCCTGAGCATAGCCGGTGTGTTCCGACAAACAAACCAAAAAAAATATCCTAGATGTTTCAGGGATTTTAAAATAACAAGGGTTAGGGAGATAGTACAGTGGACCAGATGGTTGCCTTCCACAAGGCCCTGCTGGGCTTTAGTCGCTTCTTTTCATATTGTCACTTGAGCATCATCAGGAGTGATCTCTGACCAAATAGCCAGGTGTAGGTGCTAAGTACTCTCTAGTGAGACTCAAAATAAAAGAAAAAACATTTTTTATTTTCTTTGTGTGTCTATAAGTATGTGCCAATCTTGTTTCTTAAAACTATGCATCTATAAGAATAGATAAAATCTTTAAGTTTTCTGCTACTTGATGGAATTGTAGGACATCATGTGAAACAAAATATGTCAGAAGGGGGACAAACTCACATGATCTCATTCCTCTGTGATATATGAAGTAACAGAAAACCAAATAGATAACAGTATCAACAAATGATGAGGAACATTTGTTCCTGGGTTACAAACTGAGACAACAAAGAAGGAAAGAATGGAAATGAAAGAACTAGGGAGAAAATAAGCTAGAGGGTATGTGGGGGAATTAAAAATTATGCTAGAAGTAACAGAAGGACATAATGTGGAGGATGTTGGGAACTTTGACTATAGATGTTACCAAGCTAATGTAAACATGATTCCATAATTTCAACAAGAAAAACTTAATTGAAAATACCTTCGAGGGAACCGAAAAATTGATTTTATTTATATAAGCCAATTTTGTAACTTTTGTGCTTGATATTAAGTTCTAGTTATCACTTAGGCAATACATTTAGTCTATCCCAAAGTCATATCTCTACTGCTTCTAGATATGCTAATTTTCATATGTATTTTCATATTATCAAAAGGATTTATTCAGAACACAGCTTTCTGTGTGAATCTGGAATATCATGCAGAAGTCAAGACAGGATACTTAAATTTGGAAGTCATTAGCATAGACAAAATACTTTTTACAACTTGAGACCAAACGTTAATATTGCTTAAACTTAATACAAAAAAGAATAGGGCTTACTCTGCACTCTGTAGTAAAAAACATATTAGGTTGTATGAATATATAAAATGAATGACATATCTTTCAGAATGGCAGCTAAATTGAGATTTTTTGAGAAAATCAATAAATGATAAATGATTATAGTAATTTCTTATAAACAGTAAAATCTCCACGGAGATAAAAGAATAGAAATCAACTTGAACAAAAGTTGAAGAAAGTTCATTAAGGATAAGCAATGCTATGGAACTAATATTTATAACTGTAAATAAAATGTTGTTTATAAAGTGATTAGATGTGTATGAATATTGACTATAGGAGGTAAAGGTGGTTCAAAATGATGTTAGGGGCTGGTGAGATTGTACAGGAGAAAAGTTACTTGCTTTGCATGTGGTTGTGTCTGCAAAAACCTTGATTATAATCCCAGGTACCAGACACGGTCCCTTGTGCAATACCAGGTGAGGCTGCAATAGCCCCTTTCTCAAAATGAGTTTAATGAGAAAGACAGGAGATAGATTACCACATCTCTTGTAAAACAAAGTAACTAGATTAGATTTTAGAAAAATTAATGGTGACTGGAGATAACATATTGTGTTTATTATGTCTGCCTACCAATAGTGATGAATCGTGCACACACACAGACACACACACAGATACACACTGCAAAATAAAAATCTACACATAAGAAATGTGAATTTCTCAATCCTAAGAATTAATGAATGTACTTTTTCTTATAATTTATTGTTGGCAAAATTCATGAACAAATTTTCTTATTTACTTTTTACTGTGAATGCATTGTTTCAAAAACCTTCTAATTGTATGAAATGAGAAAAGAAAAACTGATAAAACTCTTCCCATACTCCCTATTTTTATAGATTTTATGATTATTGGCATGATGATGTCCTCTCTAAAATGGTGATATGACCAATGAAAGTGGAACCGAAGCAATTTCTGTGAATATGAGTTGTAATTTATTATAGATGATTTTCTCTTAAATAAATGAATTGTAATTTAGAGCAAAATATTAGACAGAATCTGCATGCAGTAAATATGGCTTTGACTGGGTGGCAGAAGTAGGAATTTGTTACATAAATTCAAAACAAAATACAAGAAATATACATCTTTTTATGTAATTATTATGTATGCCAAAATATACGAAGGTATTTTTTGAAGGAGAAAGATATATAATGACTGGAGTATTAGTAAAATAGTTGCATTTGCTGATGAAACTTGGCTAATTTAACTTCCACTAGGGAATAGAATTTTAATCAGCCTCCTATCAGATCAGGTGATCTAATAATATCTCAGCTTATCTCTGTAAAAGATGAGCTACACTTCAACCTCATATGGCAGTATTTCTGAAAAACTTTGAAGAAGTTGAATGTTTGCCAATAACAGCTATTCACACCCCTTAAAAAACACAAAGCTTGACATGCAAAAAAATGGGCTCAGAACTCTGCCTAACACCATGTACAAAAGTAAGATCAAAATGGATTAAAGACATCAACATCAAACCAGAAACCATAAGGTACATTGAAGACAAAGTTGGCAAAACCCTCCATGACATTGAAGCTAATGGTATCTTCAAAGATGCCACGGCACTGATGAGCAAGTGAAAAAAGAGATAGATAAATGGGACTATCTTAAACTAAGAATCTTCTGCACCTCCAAAGAAACAGTGACCAAAATACAAAGACAGTCTACAGAATGGGAAAGGATATTCGCCGAATACACATCTGACAAGGGGTTGATATCCAGGATATACAAAATACTGGTTGAACTCCACAAGAAGAAAACATCCAACCCCATCCAAAAATGGGGCAATGACATGAACAGAAACTTTCTCAAAGAAGAAATTCGAATGGCAAAAAAGCACATGAGAAAATGCTCTACATCATTAATCATCATGGAGATGCAGATCAAAACCACAATGAGATACTATCTCACACCTCAGAAACTGGCCCACATCCAAAAGAACAAAAGCAACCGATGCTGGCGCGGATGTGGCGAGAAAGGGACACTCCTTCACTGTTGGTGGGAATGTCGACTAGTTCAGCCCTTCTGGAAAACAGTATGGATGATTCTCAAAAAATTAGAAATTGAGCCCCCATTTGGCCCAGCAATACCACTTCTGGGAATATATCCCAGAGAGGCAAAAATGTATAGTCGAAGTGACATCTGCACTTGTTTGTTCATTGTAGCACACTTTACAATAGCCAGAAACTGGAAGAAACCTGAATTCCCAAGAACAGATGACTGGTTAAAGAAACTTTGGTACATCTACACAATGGAGTACTATGTAGCTGTTAGAAAAGATGAAGTCATGAAATTTACATATAAGTGGTACAACATGGAAAGTATCATGTTAAGCGAAATGAGTCAGAAAGATAGGGATAGACATAGAAAGATTGCATTCATCTGGGGGATATAAAGTAACAAAATATGAGATTAATACTCAAGAATAGCTGAGATCAGCACCAGGAGGATTACTCCATAGCTTAGTGGCCAGTCGGGCATTCTAGAGGAAAGGGCAGCTCAGATAGAGAAGGGAACACCAAATAAAGGGTGTTTGGAGGATCCTCCCAGGAGGGGAGATGCATGTCGAAAGTATACTATGGACTGAACATGTTTGTCACTCAATGCCTCTTTTGCAGACCACAACACCCAAAAGGAGAGAGAGAACACAGGGGATTGCCCTGCCACAGAGGCAGGGGGGGATGGGGGGATGGGGGTGGGGGGTATATTATCCATGGTGGTGGAAAATGGGCACTGGTGGAGGGATGGGTATCTGATCATTGTATAATCAAACCCAAGCACAAAAAATTGTAAATCTACAACTGTACCTCATGGTGTTTCACTAATAAAAAAAGAAAAAAAAAGAAAAAAACACACAAAGCTTAAATAGAAAACAACAGGTGGCATGGAATCCAGAATGGGCTTGCACCCAAGAGGGAAAACAGTACTGATTAATGTTTACAGCTGAAGTGCCAGGTATTGCCTAGGTCCAAATCCCTCTGCTTTTACAATATATTTATATTTAATCATCTTATGAAATTGTAAAGTATTAAATTTTTAGGTTCTCCATTTCACCTGAAAATAACATATGTCTAGAGATGATAGACCTTCATAAAAACAATTGTTTACCCAAAAATTATGTTAGAGAACAACTTTGCTTCAGCAAAATAATCTCGATACAGTATTACTTTTCACTCTCTCTTAACATTGGTGTATTATATGTTTGAAATCCCATGGAAATGGTTTATCAAAAAGATAATAAGAATTAAAA